CGTTCTGGTGTCTATGTCTCTAATACGTAATGATATCTACACGTTCTGATGTCTATGTCTCTAATATATAACGGTATTTACACGTTCTGGTGTCTATGTCTCTAATACGTAATGATATCTACACGTTCTGATGTCCGTCTCTAATATGTAATGATCTTTACACGTTATGAGGTCTCTCAGAAGTTATGATATTTACACCTTCTTATATTTGTGTCTCTCAGAAGTAATGATATTTACATATCTGATGCCTATACATCCTTAAATGCAGGAAGCCGTTTATATAACTAATAGCACACCCAGTTGCATGGTATTTGGAACAAAGAAAAAAGTTTTTAAGCGTAGCTGTTTTCTTCCTATTACTTAACAACTTCTAAAGTTCGTGACCCACTTCCACAGTTCATGGTATCATCTTAGCAATAGCAAATCATGTTTCAGGTTTAGTCTGGAAAGAAATGAAACCGCTACTCATGTTCTATACAAGCATATCAGAATTATTACTTTGAAATTAAATATATTGTATATATATATATTTCTATGTCACTACAATGCTTCCAATATATGACTTGCCTTAATTCTACAACTACAGGAAAAAAAAAAGCTTTAGGGCAGAAAACCTTGTACTTGAAAAGATCATGGACCCAATACACACCACCTACATGACACGATCCCAATACATCAGTACGTGATATAATCTTAATACGCAACTACATAACATGATTTTAATACACACCTAAATGACATGATCACAGTAAACACATACGTAATATGAGCATAATACACGCCTACATTTTTTACTGATCGTTTGAAAGCGTGTAAGGTTACAACCATCCTCCCCTGTGGTTTCCACCACGTCTTACAGACCCTATATTTTTATTGATCATTTGAAAGTGTGTAAGGTTACAACCATCCTCCCCTGTGGTTTCTACCACGTCTTACAGACCCTATATTTTTATTGATTATTTGAAAGTGTGTAAGGTTACAACCATCCTCCCCTGTGGTTTCCACCACGTCTTACAGACCCAATATTTTTATTGATTATTTGAAAGTGTGTAAGGTT